GGGGCTGGCCGCTGGGGAGCCAGGGCGCGGTGCACGGCCCAGAGGAGCGGGGTGGCTCTGTCCCGAGAACTCTCCTCTCTGCTCACGCACCCACCTGTGCTGAGAGCAAATCAGCCAGCACCGCTGGGCGCTGGTGCGGGGGCTCCGGGAGAGCGGGCCATCCAGAAGTCCTGTCTGGTTGGTTTTGGGCTCCCATAGATTTCCCCACCTTCGGTTATCGCGGGGCAGGCACTGAATGTTTTCCTTTAATGGCTGCACTGTCTGTACCGCCTTTGCAGAAAAGAGATTCACTCACTTTGACAGTTCAATTCCCCCGCAGCGTGCGGGTTTTCCAGGCTCCTTAGGGCTCTGAAGTCCGCACCACTAGACCTGTTCGTGTGCCTCTAGGAGTAAATCTGATCCTTTTGTCTCTGGTCGACGGAATTGGGGTGGAACAAGAGGAGCTGATCTCCCGCAATGGTGCTGGATTCTCCATGCCCTAGCATGCACAGATCCTCAAGGATTTTACACAGCTGAACTGCAGCTGTGATGTGGAGCTGCCTCCATCACTTTCCTCTCTGCAAGACTCTCTGCATTCCTGATTCTCAAGCAAGGGTGTGTGTACCTCTGGGGTATGCAGAGGTCTTCCAGGGGATACATCAACTCATCTAGATACTTGCCTAGTTTTACAACAGCGCACATAAAAACCACTAGGGAAGTCAGTACAAACTAAACTGTTATGCAATGACTTGTTTATACTGCTCTGTGTACTATACATTGAAATGTAAGTACAATATTTATTTTTCAATTGATTTATAATTATATGGCAAAAATGAGAAAGTAAGCATTCTCAGCAATCGTTTGTCTTGACTCTTGCTTACAAAATACAAGTCATTTTTCTAAAATGAGGTGAAACTCGGGTATGCACAACAAATCAGACTCCTGAAAGGGGTACAGTAGTCTGGAGAAGTTGAGAACCGCTGCTCTATATCATATACACATTATTGGGATTGGTGCGGGGAGTGGAGGTGCAGCTTTCTCCTTATTCAAAATAGGAACCACTTGTAAAAGCAGCCTGCAGATCAAATGCATTCTACAACCACTAAAAGAGTTTGAGGACAAAACTGGTCAGCTGTAGATCTTTATGACCAGTGTATTTGAACAAAAGCAATTTCTACACATCTTTCAAGGAAAAGGTCCAACCAAACCGCTTGTGGTGCCCTCATACATATGTTAGCTATCGTGTATTTGTGTAAACAAGTAACTGCTGGATTTTTTTTAGTGGTTACACATTCATTCATGGGTCTGGGAGGGCAGGCTGGAGTCAGTGCTTGTGGGCAGCTGACTTTTAAGCTGGGTCCCCATGAGTACCAGATCCCAAATGTCTCCTGCCCCCTCACCCCCAATAAAGAGGCAGCAACCCAGGGGGGCAGGTGGCTCCGTGAGAGCCGATATGCATGGGCAGCGTGGAAGGATTGTCTCCTGCCTGCCTTCCCCCCCATATGCTTCTGCCTCTGAGAGGCAGCGAGGTGGGGGCTGGCTCCCTGTGCATATCAGCTCCCATGTGGCTGCTTCTCTATCAAAGGCAGCAATGTGTGGAGGGAGGGGCAGGAGGTGGCTTTTAAGACAGATTCCCCTGACCACCTGCTCCTGCCTGCCCCACCCCCACACTGCTGTCTCTGTGCAAGGCAGCAGAGAGGAGCAGCTGGTTCTGCGGGAGTCAGCTTAAATGCTGGTTCCTCACAGACAACGGCTCCCATTTCCTCCCACCCTTCTTCTGCCTCTAATACAGAGGCAGAAAGGGAGGAGTGCGTTTAATGCAGTGTTTCTTAAACTTTTTAATACCGAGGAACACCAAACAATTTTTTTTATGGGGAACCCCAAGGATTTTTTGTTGGGGGGGAAGGTGAGGGGGGAAGGTTCTATGTCTCCTCTTTGAGGAACACCAAAAAATAATTTTTTTTTATGAGGAACACCAAGGATTTTTTGTTAAGCAGAAAAAAAAGGTGTTTGTGTGGGGGGAAGGGTTGGGAGGGAAGTTATTGAGAAAAAAAGGGTTGGGGGAAGTTATTGAGCAAAAAAAAAAAGTTGCATGCCCCTTTAAGGGTAGCCATTTTGGATTCTGTTCTCTATGGCACATCTCCAACTGTGTGCCGTGGAACACAGTTTAAGAAACGCTGGTTTAATTAATGCTTATCAGTTAATTGTGTAACTGACAACATGTTAACAACCCTAGTTCATAGGACGTCGTACAGCCCTGTTGTCATGTTTATTTGTCCTAAGGTTCTGAATTGGTTTCAATCACAGCTAAAATGCTTGTAGACTGACTCCTTATTAGGGGTGTAAAATCCTGTTTAATCAGTTAACTGGTTAAACATTACATTTAACCAGTTAGCCATATAAACGGGGGTAAGTGGGAGGCTTGACTGGGCTGGAGTGGCCCCTTGCCATGGGTAAGGACTGCTCCAGCCAGGCTGGAGTGTCCCCCACTCGCAGCAAGGCGGGATGCTCTGGCCAGGCCGGGTCCACCACACTATGGACAGAGGTTGCTCCTGCCCAGCCAAGCTGGAATGCCCTCTATCCACACCAGTTAACCAGTAAGCATCACGCAGTAACGTTAACCACTGACATCCCTATTCCTTACAGTTCTTTTTCAAGGTCTGTAGATTTATTTTGCAGGTAAATCAATTCAATTAATTTTTTTCTCCTGGAAGCCACTTCTGTAAGTCTGCTTCTGATAACAGTATTTGCAGCATCTTAAAGGGTGTGGTCTGCTACATTCCTGGTATCGTTTGCTATATGTTCCTGGAACTCTTATCAAGCTCAAAAATTCTGGAGTCACGTAACAACAGACGTCATGTCCACCATTTAAGTGTTTATTCATTAAAATGGGCACCAGGTGCATGATGCAAAACTGAGATTATTTATATGCTATTACTACATTTTGGGGCTTCCATTGCTAAAAGGTGTTTTGAAGGTACCCGTGAAAACTGTATTGTCTCTTTGTTGTTGGCAGATTCTCATTGTTCTAATGTATGAAATCAGGGCTTCTTGCACCAGAATTCTGATGCTCCCGCTCAGGAATAAGCCCTTTTGCGCAACTGTTCTTGCACAAGAGGCCAGTGTAGACAGGCAACATGAATTTCTTGTGCAAGAAAGCCCTATGGTTAAAATGGCCATCAGAGCTTTCTTGGGCAAGAGAGCGTCTACACTGGCATGGATGCTCTTGCGCAAAAGCACATGCCAGTGCAGACACTCTTCTGGAAGAGTTTTTGCACAAGAACTCTTCTGCAAAAGAGTTATTGCGCAAGAAGCTGCCAGTGTAGACGTAGACGTATTATTGCTTTGTATAGTTCAACGGGTGCATATTTTAAAATATTTTACATAAATAATCAGAATTTCATCATAATTATCAGTGAAGTTTTTTGTGAAAACATTTTGCCAGGTTGAGCTCTAATAAAAACAGATGCCCAAAGGAAGGGGCAGGAGAGTGAAGATGTGTGGGACAAGTTAGGTATTTTGCAGACACGTTTTGAAGTAAAATGGAGGAGCACAAGAAAACTATTCCAGGTGACAGGGACAGCAAGATTGGGAAAGGTCAGAGATGAAGGATCATTTGCTAATTTTGTTTTCTGTTTGTAGATAGAAGTGAGAGCTCCCTGTGCTCTTAAGAATATTAGAAAGGAAGAATATGTCTAGGTAGAAAAAATACTCCTTTGTTAGTCTAAAAAGAAACTATGAACCAACAGAGTTGTTGACTCGAGTCCCACGCCTTGAACTCGAGTCCAACTTGAGTCGCCTAGGTGACTTGACTTGAGACTCAACTCGGGTTCATTGTTTTTGACTTGAGACTTGACTCAAAAGTGACTTTAGTGACTTGAGACTCGACTTGAGATTTGAACTGTAGTGACTTGAGACTCGACTTGAACTTGACAATGACGACTTGAAGACAACACCGTGAACCAATTTAGGCTCATATTTGACCCATTATAAATCAGATGTACTCATGTTGTATTTTTTTCAATCTTAAAAAGATCTGTTTTCCCTCCTTCCCCAACAGTTAATTGAGACTGTAACACACTTCACACTGCCGTCTATATTCTTGCTTACATCACTGCTAATGTTCCCAGTGCAAAGTAAATAAGACAGTTTCATTTGGGGAATTGGTGTATAGAAACCCAAATCAGAATTGTCATTTAGTATTGATAGGGAAGTCTTTTTTTTTTTCAATTGAAATTAAATATACCACTGTTTAATATACCACTGTTTACCTCTCTTGGTTTGTTTATAACTTAGGAGCTCCATGCCCACTTGAATGGCTCCATCAGTTCTGTTACCATGAAGAAACTTATGGTCCAGAAACCATATCTTCAGATCCATAATAGAATGACAATGATTGACAAGGAGAAGAAAAGGACTTTAGAAGAGTGAGTATCTAAAAAATATTACCTTAATTCCTTCCCCCCGCCCCAGTTCTTTCTGAATATATTGAGATCAGTAGAATCTGTAGAATCAGTAGAATCTTGCACTGTGACTATAGAAAACATAATTAAAATTAAAGGTTGCATTATATAATTGAATTAAAGTTCCAAGTAAAATCATTGAGGAAAGTATTGCTTTTTAAACATATCTTTAGGGGAAGATAGATTTTCATTTTAAATCTGTGAAGTCACTTCTTGCTTGTGTGCAAACTGAACACGTATCCTTGTTACCTTATTGCTTTGTCTTCATTTTAATCAGATGATGGGAAATATTTACATAGAGCATGGGCTCTTGAGAGAAAATGTAGTCATGCAAGATTTTCTTGTTGGGCATGAATATAGCCAGTAACTTAATCTCTGTTTTTCTATATGTTCTTAATAAAAGCTTTATGCTATAAATGCTATACATTTAATCAATACAGAATTAGTAGTTTTTAAGTCTAGGAAGGACAATAATTATGATTGTGCTGCAACAAAGACAGTAAATACTGTTACTCAGATAAGGGATTGCAATTGGGAATGCTCATTCCACCAGTAGGCTTTATATGCTTAGCTTTTTCATTTTTTGTTGTAGATGTTTTCAGATGTTTAAAATCATTCATCAGATTACCAGTAGGACTGAAGATATATTAATGGTAAGTTATACAAAGTTTTGACAAAATCAGAGCATTTCTCTCTTCATAAACAATTCCTTGGAAAGGTAGCAAGGTACTGTGTCTGTCTCCAGTATGTGAAGATCAAATTGAACTGGCTGTAAATTATTGAGCTCAGAGATTCAGTAATATGTTACCCAACAATGGCATTTTGGCATGTCTAAAATTCTGTATTTTCTTCAGAGTAGTGAACTACCAATATTGGACATCAGTCTGTGCTCCAAGTTGGTTGAACTGATGATAACTTATGAATGTGACATTCATTCATATTTACCTAAGCTCTACTTTAGCAGAGTCTCTTAATACTTCTTTGTCTCAATGTATATGCAGAGTTTCATACTAGAGAAGCACTGTGTTCACTTTTGGGTCTAACACAGATAGAGAGAGAAAGAGAGAGAGATTGAGATCTACTAGTGGGAAAGCCTATCACAGGGTGTGGAGTAGGGATGTTAAATATTGGTTAATTGAATAGTCGAGTAAACACATGAACTCTTACTGGTTAGTCGACTATTCTATGGTACCCAGGGGCGGGGCTGGCAGCCAGTGCACTCTGGCCTTTCTTGAGGAGCCCTCTGCTACTCCATGCTGCTGCCTCTGTATCAGAGGCAGCAGTGTGAGGTGCCAGGCGGGAGCTGGTCCTCAATGAGAGCCAGTTTAAAAACTAGCTCCCCTTGCAGACTGACTGCCTATTGCCCAGTGGTGCTGCCTCTGTTAAAGAGGCAGCAGCACGGGGTGGCAGCAGCCCCTGTCGAGGGGACATCTGAGCTCCCGGACTGGGCATGAGCCAGAACTGAACTTGGCTGCCTTCCCATGCGGCTCCTAATACACTTCAAATGAAGAGCCACAGCAGGGATAGGTCCAGGACCAAACATGAGTCAGGACTGAGCCGGGCTGCCTGTCTGCCTGCCCACCCAGCTCCTAATACACTTTAAATGCAGAGCTGCAGTGGGGTAGGTCCCAGACCTGTCGCAAGCCAGGAGTGAGGATGGCTGCTGGCCAGCCTGCTAAAAAGTTTACTGGTGGGGAGTGAGGGCAATGTGTGGCTTCTATAGCATTAACCTATACGCTTTTGCTTATCGGTTAATCGACTACATTATCACATCCCTAGTGTGGAGTGGAGAGTGGTACAAAGTGTTTGTGAACCTTTCCTCTTTAGAGTGAGTTTCAGGCAGCCAGTGCAATCCTGAAGTGCTCAGGATGACTGCCAAGGAAGCAGTCATGGGTAGGGCAGCAGTGGAATGTACTGTTTCACCACGTGGCCACTAAAATCCCCATTAGCCAGAGCAGTTTTGATACCCTGATGAAACTGGGCAAAGATAAAAATAAAGTGGGATTTAGACAACTATTAATATTATGTACCTATATTTCCATGTTTCACATTGAATGTTTACATGCATGTCTTTATCTTTAAGAATCCTCCAATGTAACAGAGTATATATCTTTAATTTCAAAATATTGTATTTGCTGTTTTTAACCAGGTAACTAAGGATGTTATTAAAGAATTTGCTGCAGATGGTGTCAAGTATCTGGAGCTAAGGAGCACACCTAGAGAGGAAAATAGCACTGGTACAAAGTGTTCTGTCTTGTAATGAATATTCTGGATTGTATTATAGAACTTCTCACATTAAAAAGTTATAATTATTATGTTTGGGTAGTACTAAGTGTATTATGACCGACATGTAAATAATGGCAGTAGTCACTTTAGAAATTCAGTTGTTTTAATAAATATGTGACAAACTTGTTAAATCTTTCACACAGTGACAAATTCCTCTTGTAATTTCATTGAAACCAGTTGAACTGCTTGAGGAATGAATTTTCCCTAATTTGTATATTATGGTGACCAGGTGTCTGGTTTTCGACTGGAATGCCCAGTCAAAAAGGGACTCTGGGGCATGAAGAAACCCTACTAACAGGCTCTTATGTAAAGTTTTTTTTTCTTTTCTCCATAAAATCAGAGTTGACACAATCCAAAGAGGGGCCTCGAAGTAAACATTCATTGGTAAAAACAGACCTATACAAAACCTACACTCGCTGAATAATATCAAGATGCAAAATGAAACTACCAGGATAAAATCAATCCCCAAGTACAAATGAAGTATAAGATTAATGAGTAAAATGTGGGGAAAAAGTTAAAATGAAAAATATTTTTATGCTCTGCCTGGGATTTCATCAAACATAACTTTTTATAATTGGTCCACTTACATCGACTCAGATCAGATGTGCATATGCTTGTGTGTGTGTTTTATAGGCATGACCAAAAGGACATATGTGGAAGCTGTACTTGAAGGAATAAAACAGTGTAAAGAGGAAGATGTGGATATAGATGTCAGGTAAAATAACAGAAAAATCTTCTGATTTGGGATCTTGTTATGAAGAGACCGACCGACTCACCCACCCCGCACGTCTCCTCCGGCCTCCCCTCCCTTGGTGCTTGGGTCAGGTTTACAGATTATGAACAGTAGGGAGAAATTTGTAAAGAAATCAGATGATTTTTTTTTACTTAAAACTCCATGGATTTGGCTAAGGATTTGCACACACATGATTGTACACTTTAGATATTGAAACATGTATTTTATTAACCCTTTTACTAAATAGTTTTCAAAACTAGCAGAGATTTGAAAAGTCTCTATTATCTGCAATGTTTTACAGCAAAAGCAGCGTTCTCAGGAGATATCAGACTAAGGGCCTGTCTGTATCACTTCAATCATACAAGCATAGTTAGAGCAGTACAACTGTCCTACTGCCGCCGTCCAGTGTTGATGTAGTTATAACAGTGTAAAGGTGATTTATACGAGAATAGGTTATTCTGATATGTGGAGGGGAATATATTATATTGGTCTGGAGCATCATTATACTCGCATAATCGCATCCATATGAGCGGTTCTACTGGTTTAACTAATTTGTTTTAAAAAATCAACTCCCTAAGGCCCCTACCTACACTAGACCTGGAAGACTGGCTTAAGGTATGCAACTCCAGCTACACAGACTACGTAGCTGGAGTCAGCTTACCTTAAACCAAGCTTGGTGCCATACACACTGCGGGAGGCTGATGTGGGCAAATTCTCCTGTTGACTTGACTTCTCTTATTCCTTGAAACTGCGAGGAGTACAGGTGCCAGCCAGAGCTGCCCTCAGCATTTGATTTACAGGTCTATACTAGACCCACTAAATTGACTGCCAGAATGTCGATCTCTGGCGTGGCGAGTGAAGATGTTCCCTAAATGAATTAGTTGTATTGGGACAATAACTGTGTGTAGAATAGGCCTTAGAAAGACATTCCAGTTTCTATTAGTAATTTAACAGATAGTATAAACTTTAATTTTAAATTAGCTATCAAAAGTCAACGCAATAATGGGGATGTTTGATCGGTAAGCATACAGCACTCATACATATGAAGCTCACTGGTGTGCGTATCAATTAACTATCCTTTGCCAGTTAAGTCTGGTGGTGACTAAGGATATTAAAATGCGGTTAATTGACTAGCTGACTAGTCGATGGAATTTCTATCGGCCAGTCAACTAGTTGATAGGCACTTGCACATTCCTCCTTTAAAATGTTGGGAGGAGCCCTGGTGGGGCTCTTGTACATTTCAAAGGAGGAATGTGGAACTCCGAGTACAGCCCAGTGCCAGCGGGGAGCCCCGCAGCTGCCCCTTTGATTTGTGCAGATGCGTGGTTCAAAGGGACAGCCGCTGCACAGCTTGGCTCCCCTGGGCTCCTAGCAGCATGCAGCATAGCATGGAGCCTGGGGTCAACAGGGTCCTCTGAATTCCCCGCTGACCCCGGGCTCCATGGCTTTGAAATACACAAGAGCCCCCGCTGGGGGCACCCGCATTCAGAGAAGGCACCCGCATTCAGCCCTGAGTCAGTGGGACTTCCCGGTGGCCCTGGGCTGCATGCGGAGTTCTGCATTCCTCCTTTGAAATATATAAGAGCCTCAGCGGGGGCTCTTGTACATTTCAAAGGAGGAAGGCAGAAGTGCCGGTCGACTAGTCAAAGGACTACCCAATAAGTAAATGCTTTAACATCCTTAATGGTGACTAGCTGTGCAGCCCTGGCCATGGGGCTGGTGGGCCAGGCTGTGGGACCCTAGCCACAGCAAGATCCCATGGCAGGATCAAGCAGTGGGGCAGGCAGTGAGACTTAGGTTAAAACAGTTAACTGGTTAAGGGCTATCATTTAACCAGTTAACCATTTTATCATCATAATCACCAATATAGCAGTAATATGTGTCTGTCTTTCTATTATAGAATTTTAGTAATTTTCTTTGATACAATGCAGTAATCACAATGAGAGTACTTCAGCCATTGAGTATTTGTTTTGCTAATTACTGCACATTGAGCTGTTATTTTATGAATGTGCTTACTTTGACCCTCTGGGAAAGTTGCTTTTGCTGTGAAATGGCCTTTCAGTCTTTTACCATGTGCAAACTTTGAGCAGTTTTATTACTTATTAAACAAAAATCCCACAAACAAAAAATAAGCAAACATAAAATTACCAACCCTAAATAAACAAAAACTGCTCACAAATATATTGGACAATTTTTTAAAAAGTTTAAATTGTTTTAAAATGACTAACC